TAGGTTCGTACCCAACTAGCCTCATACCTTTGCGCGCACGCTGACGTGTCTCACCGTTCCCAGGGAGTTCCCAGAACCATCTTGCTGCCTACGCAAGTGCACGCAACGAGGATTCCGAAGCTCGAAACGGCTACATGGTTCCACAACAGCCAATGGCCAAACCGTGCATTGACTGTATTGACCCGAAAAGTCGAGCCACCACTGTGAACATAGCCGCACAGCCGTTACTGCACACAGCCATTATTGAACCAAGCGTTTTACACGTCAGTATGGGACTTCCAGGGTTGGTGGATAAACTCCTGCGCCAGCCACTCTGGGACACGGTTGCGGCCAAGACTGCCCTGCTTCTTCCACTATCTATCTATCAAACCAGCTCTATCTATCTATCTATCTATGATTTTTCATCTATCTATCTATTCTGTATCTATCTAGCTGCGCGGCCAAGCCGGAACAACGTTCGGTGCACGTGGACGCCGCGAGAAGCATCCGCTCGGCCGAGGAAACGGTACAAGCATAGTAGAGACTAGGATGGTTGCTCTGTACATTGAGCGCCTGTCTCCACTCCATTGTCCAAATAGCCTCCACAGCCCTTCGCGATGCTAATGATGCACTACTCGGCGTCCATTGCATCACTCGCATCACCAGACCCAGTTTTCACTGCTTTCTGACCCTCGCTTTGGAGGCTCTCCCCAGGCAAGCTCCGGGCTCACCCTCTCAAATGGCGCCTTTTCGCATACCCCCCCACACCCCCTTTACTCACTTCGTTCGGTGTACAAGCTCAAGCCTAGCCTATCGGCTGGCTTTCGTAATGTAGACTATGGCCTATTGAATATTGTTTGTTGCAGCCGGTGATAAAAACAAGCAGTCCGCACCCTAGCGCCTCGGCGTGACCCTTTTCGAAAACGGCAGCACTGGTACCGAGTCATGGTGGGTGGGACTCAGGAACTCATAGGAACTCAGCTATCGGCGATATCGATATTGGAACTGTGAAAAGTAGTTTCTCTGTTCATCAGCTCGTTCAAAGCACCAAATGCCAATGCCAACCAGACAATGTCAATTCTGAATATCACCCACCAGACATAAACACCCTCCCCACTGTGGAGATGGCCACTGGCCAATGAGGCATTCAGCCACCAGCACTGATGCTATCTAATCCAGCTTGGATGCATCAATAAGTCATCTGAAACCGAGAAGTGGAGACAAGCCTCCTCAGCAGAAACCTGAGGCAACTACGGCTGAAAGCTGGTCACAGGGAGGTCACAGCGATCAATTGACAAAATGCACACAGAGATGTCACATGAAACTGCAATGATGTCAATTAGTTTCAGTTTGTCTTTGATTGATGTGTGTTTGGGTTCTCCACTGACTTCTAGAACGTTGCTTAGGTACTGTATTTGAACCTCCTCTCTTTCTCTTCCGTCACCGGGGTTGACCCAGAAGCACCTCCAAAGGCCCAATCGACCTCGGCGAATCCGCGGAGCATCAGGAGGATGGCGGAGGCAAACAACCTCAACGGACGCAGCGCCAACGAAATCACCATGCACACACCACTTCTTACATTCCTGGGGCCACTGCGCAAAAGCCACCAAGAAAATAATGATGTAGCTGTGGGTCCGCACGTAATGCCTAGGGCATGAGAGTATGCTACAGTACATATGATACAGTTCTTCAAGGTAATGATATGCGCAAGTGAACCATTGAGGTCTAGACGTATTTCCTGCGAGCAAGCCACACAGGGAACCCAGCATCCTTGGTAGGTAAAAACGAGGCCACTGGCTCTGACATTTCAAGAGAAGCGTTTGATGTCCCATGAGTAGTGCGCTCACCAGGAAAGGCACAATTCCACGTTTGCATGGCTGTGGGTCAAACTGCGCACAACCCAACCTCACAAAATACATGTTGTATCTTGATATTGGCTGCGGGGACGTCCTCCACAAAAGCAAGCTCAGGCGCGCGAAGATAAAACATGGAATGCCGTAGTCCAGGAAAGGCTGAATTGTGTCGCCGATCAAATAATGAATGGCCTGGGCCCACTTTACATATGCTGAAGTGGTCAGTAGAATCAATTTCATGCAAATCAGAAAATCCACACAAGGATTCAAGGAAGCACTGATGGAGAGCAATTGAGAGGACAACTGGCCCTTGAAGAAAGTTGAGCCAGGAATGACACCGATTTTAGGCGACTTTGGATTTGAACTGTGGATATAGACTGTATACACATAAAATATCGAAGGCAAAGCCTGAACCATATTGAAGGAAACAAATCCTCCTGCGCACTCTCAGTGCAAGCAAAAAACATTTGACGAGGTGTTGAAGAAAATCAGAAAGCCAGACGTCGCTGCTGCAACCCGTGCTGCCAGGCCAAGCCTAGGATTGGTCCCGTGAAGATCCCTGAACTGAACAAGTCCGCGGGACAGTTTTGCCGCAGCATGGAGAATTATCCCAGCATAGACCCCAAACAGATTCAAAACGATTCGTTTGGACCAATGTTAGTCAAAAACGATTTCTTGGCCTTCCCCCCAAGAATTTGTTCGGCCACACTCCTCTCTAGCTGTTGAGCACGTTCATGAAAAAATTGCAATGCGTGTCACAGGCACATTATCGGGCGCCTCATCTATCAACGGTATGAGTCGGGCCCCTACGCGAACCCATTCGGCCACAGAGCTCAGGCCAGTCAGCGTGGCCAGATGGGGAAAGCTTTTTTGCGCATGGCCGTGGCCGTGGCCGGTGGCCGTGGCCGGTGTTGGGTGGTGTGCGTGGCCGGTGGCCGGTGGCCGGCCGTGGCCAGTGGCCGTGGCCGGTGGACGGTGGCCGTGGCCGGTGGCCAGTGGCCGTGGCCGGTGTTGGGCGGTGTACGTGGCCTGTGGCCGGTGGCTGTGGCCGGTCGACGGTGGCGCCGTGGCCGGTGGTCGGCGGCGCGCGCGCGGAGCTGTGCTATATAGTGGGCAGAGGCCAATGGGATACGTGGGCATCAACAACTTGTTGAATTCTGACACCGGATGAAATGCTGGACAATGGAATCTATGCGGCAAAACTATGGCAGCGTCACTGGCGGCCGTGATAGAAGCAATAAGCGCCGAAATCTTTTTCCAACTCGGAGCTGAGGCGTGGCGTGCTGGAGGGCAAAGGCTCTTGCCTGCAGCATGAGGGATGAAGAGAACAACGGTTGGCACAGTCAGCAAAAGTGGGGTAAAACCCATCCAGTGTCGTGAAGGTATTTGTTGAGAGGGTCGCCACCAAACCCAGACACACTGACGCCACGGAGATAGAGCTATAACCACGTCACGTCCCAGGAACCATGTCCAGCGCAGAGCCCCACCCGCTGGATTAATGTGACACATGCTCGACGGGCCTGATCAGGGGGGTTAGGGACCACCGGTCTGCTAAAGCCAAGCTGCTCAGGCTGCATGCAATCTGCGTTTCTTGGCAGCTGCGTGCGACTTGTCATGCAGGCTGAGGAGACGAGCCAGATTGCGCACATCGGCGCACTCTTGGACAAAGAGCTGAGAAAAGAACTTGCCCATGTGATGCACCGTATGCCCTATAGTGGACTAAATTGTGAGTTGACAGACTCGCAAATATCTGTGGGGAAGTTGTCCAGAAGGCGCTCATTGTCGGCCGAGGTGGGTAGGCAATGGTCCCGGCAAAACTCACCCTTGCGGCCAGTCATGTGGAACCTATCAACTACAAACGTCATGCTCCCCAAGCGTTGCGCAATATTTGTGGTACGCTATAGTGCTAGGCATAGCGTTGGGATAGCGACTCGGCAGTGATGAGTTCCATTGCGTCTATAATCATTCCTCGATTTGAGCACAAACCAGTGCAACACCTAGGCATGAATTCAATGGTTATGTAGCACAACTATAGTTCGCCCTACTTCGATAGTTTGGTCAGAAGCCAGTCCTCCATGTGTCACTGCGAGAAGGTGCCCTGCCGTGCGAGCCGCGGCGGTGATATGCTTCTCCGTCTCTTTGTGAGTTTGGCAAGCGCTCTCTGCTCGAGCCTGCGTAGAAGACCATGGAGCAAGGTAGGTTTGTCTTCTTGGGCGCATGCCTGTCCACCTCTGAGCCCGTGATTCCACCCGCCGCTGTCTCCTGCAGTGGAGGCTGTCAAAACACACGCGGTTGGGAGCGTGTGGACATGTCACGTGGCAAACATGAGGGTGCGAGGGAGGACACCCGCCTTCGCCGAATGTTTCCATCTGCTAAGGTTGCAAAATAACGACGCAGCGTTTCTTCGTGTACGGTGGCCGCAGGCTGCCAATTGCCATGTCCTTCCATTTGGATCTCGAGGTATTGAACATCACCTTCAGTGCGCAAAGCTCTCCTCAACCGATGGCGGCCAATTTCAACATGGCTTGGGCGCGGCGCTTCATCTCTGAGAGTAGCACGCTGGCGACACAGGGTGTCCTTTCCATATGGTCGGCGGCTACAGTCGCGTAGGAGGAGCTTGCCAATGAGTGGGCACGGAATAACTTCAGCATAGGGCATCCCACATGTCCTTCTTTGAAGCTGGCAATTCTCATCCACCGCCACAATGCGCAAAGGGTCTCCGGACTTGTGGACCTGGGCCAGACGCCTGCGCCAGGCAAAGCGTGGCAATCTGAAGTAAGTGATGGCCTGAGACAGGTTGCTACAGAAGGAAGTGAGAGCCTGCGGTGATCCATCAACACTAAACACGTGGAACAGGAGTGTATACACCCTATACAATCTTTAAGCATACAGCGCAAGTTCCAAAGCAACGCGGGCACATCAAGTTAAGTACGCAGGCAGCCTCTGGAACATCAATGGCTCGTAACAAGACCAGCTCATTTCAATCAACTTTTCGATGGGCGCAGAAAGGAGCTGAGCTTGAAGACACTCCCGCACCTCTGCTTCGACCTCGCCGGACCGCCTCCACAGAATCTCTCGCGCCCATGCGCTGGACAGCTGAACTCGCACTCGTACCTGCAGAGCAGGGTCCAACAAGCGCAGAAGGACTGCCTCTCCTTGAAAGGATGCACGGTGCAAGAACATCCTGTATCTCCAGCGTCGAAGCCAGGAGCCGGCCACTGCCAGCTTCTTGCTGACAAAGAAAAAGTGGTAGGGCGAGGTAGGTCAACTACCTTGCTCCACACTCCACTGCTGCTCTTCTCCAAAAAGCCACACCAAAACTTCTTCCCAGAAGCGCACGCGCTGCAGGTGTGGCACACATGCCAGGCGAACAAGCCGACAGGCTCCGCAACAATATGGCACTTGACAGCTCGCCTCTGGTTTCTTCTTGCAGGCGCTTGGATCAAGGGGCGCTGGCAATCTGGACATCTCTCTCTGCTCGAAGAAAGGAGCAGCAGCTCGGGCTGCAACGTCACTGATATTCCTGAGTGGCACGGCGCGGTTTCTTCTGTCTGGACGCATGGTCAAACATGGAACTGGCAACGAACTAACACTGCCAGCTGGGTTAGAAAGGGCGCTAAAGCACTGTGGCCACAGTGCTGGATCTGTGTGTCTAACGGGGACAAGAACCCCGTCCCATCGAAAAGAATAAAGCAGACAGTTTAGAGGCGCATGAGCTCATGCGATGTTCCCCTGTGGTGGGGTTGCTGGAGCTGGGCCTCTCTGCAAATTCCCGTCCAATTGCGACGGCCGCTCCCGCTTGCTGGCCTGTTGGGGGTGGGCGCACTCCTGTGTCCTGGAACAACGCCCGCCTCTTAGAAATTTCGCGAGTGCTCACACGGCAGGCCTTCAAGCTCTCATTGTGATACAAAATCTGGTTGCTGCGGTTGCCGCTCCAGGTGCGGGGGACCACGGTGCAATCTTTGCGCTCAGGGCGCCGCAGGATTTCACCCGCAAATCTAGAGCCCAAGACACATGTCCACATCACATCCCGTGTCTGTGAAGAAGAATCTATATACTATGGGCGATTATATGCGCGCAGGGGGAGACTTTTTGGCATCAGCATGGCATGAGCAGTGGGCCTTGGCAATGGTAGGTCGGATCTTCTTCCTCTTCTTGTTCGAGCCGGAGCCAGTGGTTTGCACCATGTGGTACAAGTCAATCAGCTTGTTCAACTTGAATTCATTGCCTCCATGGACACCAACATCATCCCGCTCTGATGGCTCAGCTGCCTGTGGTCAGTCGGAGTCTTCAAAAAATGGTGTATATATATATATATATAGATATAGGGTTCGATTTGAAACAGGTGAGCAGCAACATGGTGTAAGCTATGTTCACCACGTTGCCCGACTTTACAAGCCTCCAGTGGTGCCCCAGGGACAGGAACATGGTCTTCGCCCAAAGCAGCTTCCGTCTTTGGCGGCAGCTGAGTGGGGGCTGGGCAGCCGAAGGCTTCCACGCGAGAGCACTGTGCACCGGGCGGGCGATAGAAGCTTCATGATCGACCTCGCTGAGGTCTTCGTCTACAGGTGAGCGCAGCACCGTGCGTACCTGCAAGGCGATCTCAACAAGGCGGCTGGCCGCGCGGTAAAATTACAAAACACGGAGCACATGTGTGCCTGAACATGGGTCGCCGTGATGACCGCCTGTCCAGAAGTGTCAAATTAATTCACCGCCGCCCGAAGCGATGTCCAACAAGGCCACGGCCGCGGCCATCTGCCCATGAATGGCCGCCCCATTGGCATGGAGGGCTTCGAGCTCACCCTCCGATTGTTGCGCCCGGACACTTTGCGCAACCTGGTTTCCTCAGCAACAAATATGGGACATGTGGCAGTGTTGTATAGCCATGAACCCCTATAGAAAGCAACAAGCTCGTTTCACGACGGGGGACCGAGCAAAAGCTTGTGCCCCTCTGGCTCAATCTCCAAGACAGTATGCGGGCGGGAACGAAAGTGTTCACACACGCGTTGCGCTCCAGCCTTGATGTGGCCAGTAGGGTCAGGCAAGTTCCACCGGCTTGAGACGCGAAACTCCGTCCGCAGGCCAGGCGACGGTCCTGTGAGAGGGGAGATGGGTGAGAGATCAAGAACAGTGGTCACACCGTCCTATCATTAGCAACCCCCCCACTAACGATGCCAGGCCTTCAGCCGCTGGCAAACGCACATAGCGAACACGGGAAGCGACTCCATCGGGCAACGTCGCCGGAAAGCCTAAAAAGTTGCCTCCCCCCAAAGACGCGAGCCTGAAGAGCTGTTAGAGGCAGCCAAGTCCACCTGTCAGCCTCTGCGACACCACTGCTGGCTGGGAGGGCCTCAAGTCGGGGTACTGCTGTGTCAACTACGATGACAAAACGCTCCTTGGTAGCGGCTGTGTGGTGCCCGAGGAGCCCTCGCTCCATGGGGACTACCTTGCGCGGATGCGCGTTGCCCAAGACGCTCAGAGATACATGCTGCTGTCGAATCCCTTCACCGTGAGTGGTAGACGTGCGAGTGGCTCGCTTTGTCTTGCCTTGAGCAATGAGTGTTCAGATTCGATGCGTGCGGGTTGATGCCAGCCGTCCTATCGCCAGAGGTTCGCGGGCACATCAAGGACATGTTCTCGAAGAACTCATACGCCTCATCGAGGTTGAAGGCTTGGCCCCACCAAACTCTGGTGGAGGACTTCACACCAACCTGGCAGAGCGAGCGATAAAACTCGAACGCAACAAACTTTGCTGCAGTGAAGGGCTTATATGATATCAAACATGTTAGTAGTCTGGAGTCCTGAAGTACCCAGAAGAAAGCATCCTGCCTGAACTTGTGGAAAACCGGCAGAACACCTAAAGAACAGCTCAGTGGGCGTACAGCTCTGCACAGAAATGCCCTTCACTTGTACGGGTACGCTTGCTGCAGCATCTGGCGCAGCCACATCACTGGGACCGCCACGCTGTTCAGTTTGTTGCCGCAAGGACTGGGCATAGTCTTTGGCTAGCTGCTCCACAAAGTCATCAGCCGTTTCAAAAAGCAACTCGGTAGCTTGGAACAGGCGCGATTTGCCCCGCTGGGCTGGAGCGATGTGGAAAACCAATAGCGCCAGAGGGGAAGCTTTTTGGCTCCAAAGACGAATCGATGCCCTGTTGCTGAGCGCAGGCATTGCGCCGCAAAACATCATGCAAGTTCCATAGAGACCTTGGCAAGTTGCTGCGCTGATGGGCTCCAAGTAAGACCTTATGGAGGATGGCAAGTGGGAGGCGTCAAAATTGTCCTGCACCACTTGGACAGCATTTCTCATCAGTGCGTCAATCTCTGTCTCCGGGATCTCTTCTTGACCTTTCGCCATAGTGTCGCCGCAATTCCTCCTGCAGGATTCCCCATGAATAGACAGGGTGCTTTTAGGAACCCTCCAAGCCAACATCCCATAAGACTGCCGGTAGGCTACTGCGTGAGAAAGGCAAATTGTCGGAGCAAAGCGCAAGCAGCGTTCGCGACCCTTAAAACAGACAGCATCCGCAGCAAGCATCACTCCTCGTTCAGAGACAGGCGGCGGAGGAGGCAGCTGCAGCTATAAGCAGCTATGCACTTCACGACTGCGACGTCTGCCCGAAAGAACTACAGGACACTGAGTGGGACTGTCCTGTGTGTGGGGACGCGTTGCTGGTTTTGGGGATGTGGTGTCTTCAACGATGTGCAACTGCCAAGCAAGACGGCGCTTGGAGCCATGTGGATCTACAGAGTGATGCATGGGACGGATGTGGGGGACGGTCACTCAAAGTTGATGTCAAAATTCTAGCCTAGAGCAACCTGACATGTTCAACAACCCTGCCGGGTCATCTGCAAGTCCAAGGTCAAATGCCTGCGTCTGAATGCAACAATCCAAGTTTCCAAGGCGGCTGTTGCGCACACCCGACGGTGACGAGCAACCTCGCTCCAGTCCTGCAGCCGGTTCGACCAGTCAAGACCGACAGTGAAAGACTCTTGTTCACGTGGCCCTTATGGAAAGGTGAAGAATTACCCGGTACGAGAGCTAGGACAACCTTGGTGGGAGTAGTGCATGTTGTGGTTTTTCAGGCCCGGAGGTGATTGAAAACGCACGCAGCACGCAGGAAGCACAATAGACCGGACTGCCTACAGCCATGACAAGGCGTGTGGTCGTGGACACGCTTCAAGACAGCAGCACGTCCTCCGCCCTGCGAGACAGCTTGCCAGCAGCCGCTGCGTCTGTGCCAAGCTGCTCGCACATCCACCGCAAGCACAATCGACTCCAATGAGATGTTCACAAAAACTGCTATTCTAAGAGCTTTGTGAACTGCCGTTCTAAGAGCTTTGCGCTTGCAAACCTAAGCGGAAGACTTGCTCTATCTATGGCAGGGAAACCCAACTCAACTAGGGAGAGCGTTGTCTGGCACATCGCCCATCATAAGACTCTGTGCGCCTCTGCTGCGCGCAACTGCCCTATCAGTGGATCCATAAATGCCCCAGCGTTGCAAGTGGTGGATGGGGAAGAAAGCTGGAAACAAGCCGTAGGTGTAGCTCTTAAATCGTACTGGTCTACACACCGTGGGGCAAAAGAATGGCGGCGCGGCGGCGTGGAAAGGCCAAGCCGGTGGGCAAGACGTGGCCACTGCCTGTGGCCGGTGGCCGTGGCTGGTGGATAGTTGCTGCGGTGGTGGTAGCCGGCGCCGTGGCCGTAATAGCTGGGTGCGGATGGCCGAGCCGGTGGCGGGTGCGTGGTGTTGGTGGCCGGTGGCCGGTGGCCGTGGCCGGTGGCCAGTGGACGGTGGCCGTGGCCGGTGGCCGGTGGCCGTGGCAGGTGGCGGTGGCCGGTGACCGTGGCCGGCGGCCGGTGGCCGGTGGCCGGTGGCCGTGGCCAGTGGCCGTGGCCGTGGCCGGAAACGAAAAAAGACTATGGTGCTGTGTTCGGGCCTTGTCCTCCTGTTGTCCTTGTCTTGGCCGCGCCCCTGTCTGTGGCCGGGCCCTGTGGCCGGGTCTTGTCCTCCTGTTGTCCTGCTGTTGTCCTCTGGCCCACCATAGTCTTTTTTCGTATCTCCCCGGACACAGAGCCGGGCCACAGAGCCCAGCCACAGAGTTCAGGGGCGCGGCCAAGAGGAGGACAAGGCCCGGACACAGAGCCGGGCCACAGAGCCCAGCCACAGAGTTCAGGGGCGTGGCCAGAGTGTGGCCAGCTCTTTTTTCTTCTAAGATAGAACCCCAACAGTAAACTGTTTGGGGAAAAAGACAGTTGAAATGCTGAGTTGCAGAACTGTGCCAGATCTGAACATGGCATGAGCAGTGCCTGACACCCTTTCACACCGTGCTTTGATATCTACTTCTCAACATCCCTTGACTTGTTGAAGCAGTAGTGAACATCTCACTTTGGACTTAGTTTGACTCTGAAAGGGTTTCGTGCTTCGGCTTTCCGGTTCTGAAAAGTTTTTCAGTATTTTCACTTCACTTGAGTCAAGGCACTCCAGCAACAAAGGGACCATGAACTCACCTGCAACTGCATCAAGTACTTTGTGTCAACTTCAAGTGGAGACCGGCTCACTATCTCCATGACATACTGTATATAAAGTTTTGTAGATGACACGGAAAAAAGAAAGCAAAGACACTGTTTCCAAGCCTACGGTCCAAACAAAGGTTTCACTTTCGTTTATGGCCTTTGCGCTATGGAACTGACTGCTGTGTTGGTGTTTGGTCTCAGATCACCGCCTCCGCCAAGACCGAGAAGCCCTGCCAGCAACCCCACTGCCATGGCCAGAAGCGGTACCAAAGTCAATCCTGCCCTGCGCGACAGGACCAGTTGCAGGTGTCCCCAATTCCAAAAGCAAATGTTGACTTGCAACAATCTGATCTACCATTCTGTCACATTCGTGCTGACCAGTCACTACCTTAAAGCAAAAGGCAGGGTGGCCATGCAGTCTGCCGTGTAAATTTGGATCCCCTTATATACTCCACCCTAGTGGGATGTGCGTGGAGCCAACTAGAGTATCAGAAGAAGAACGTCCCACGCCATGAATCGCATGATCTGCTTCATGACTTCTGCAAGTCATCGAGCCGAACCAATCCTCAATGTCTCCATGATCAGGACTGCCTGGCCTACCCAGATCTGGCTCACCCTCGACTGGCGGGTCATGTCGAGACTCATGCCATGCTGCCAGCTCTTGCATAAACCTGCCACATATCAGAATTTGTTTGACTTTATGACATCACATGTGGTGATGCAAAACCGTGTTTTCATGACTGACCATATCTGCATATAGATTTGAGCCAAATCTAAATCTACCCCTGCAGGCAATAAAAGTGTCTCCTTTTGCAAAATGCTTCTGTTTCCAAGGCCTCATGGCCATCAGGACAGACACTGCCACAACCGGGTAAAGGCCCAATAGTGCTATCCAGTAGACAGTCGAGCACCTCGCTGTGCATCGAACTGCTTTGGTGGTGGAAATTGCATAAGCAAGGCTTGCGTGATGTGAAACGAAGCACAGTATTTGAAGAATTTGAAGACTTTATACAAGTCAGGAAATCCAGGAAACGTTTTGGACGGGGCCTCTACTGCGGCCTATATACATATATATATATAATACATAAATTTCAAATCACATGTATATACATACATCGGGTGGGCTTTCAGTCTCGTCACCTCGGACCCTGTTCATGAGGCGCCTTTCCACGCCGAACACGTCTTGTGCCATTGCCAAATAGTCCAGGCAAAAAATCAGATTGAAGCCGATCCTCGTCTTCAGCTCCACACTACGTTCAATTCCCTCAGCGTTCAACTTGGACTGCACAGAATAAGCCAAGCCACATGAACCAAATCGCCTTCCAAGGAATTCGCATAGGTAAACTGTCATCCAACGACCTCACTTCCCGCAGGCTCTTTGGCTCCAGCTTGCAGCCGTCCCAACAAAACATTCAAAGCGTTGTATGGTCAGCCTAAAAACCGTTTATATCTTCAGCTGAAGGTACTGCATAGAGTCAGCAGAAGTGGACTGCAAAGACTGCTGCCCTCTATCACGGACGGACACGCCGTGCAGCACGCTGTCCGACGCAGTGGAAAGGGTATCCCTGCGGCAGCATCTACAGTATCATTTCCCACGCTGTTTTTGTCGCAGGGTACCACAAATGCGTTTTCTATATGTTTGTTCCTTTTTCATCAGGTTGCTTAGCGGTTGCTTGTTAGGAATCCGATTTTGCTAGCTCTTTCGCAACGGGAAGCCCTCCAGGTCCTGGCATCCAGCACCGGTCGCTGCAAGTTCGTGAGGGCATTTGCAGAACGGCCTTGGGCACTCAGGCAATGCCAACTGTGCTACTCCTATGCAGGTTCGCCTGTAGAGGCACAGGTTGATCGACAGTTGTGATTCAGTTTCAGGGAGTGGTAAATATATATATATATATAGTTCGACAGTTCGACAAATATGCTCTACAAAGTCAGCAGACCAGGGACCCTTCTCCACCATGCCTTGTATGCGCCACCCTTCTGTTGCCTTGATGAAATGTTGTATGAATTACAATGCGTCGCAACCACATCGAAATACTGTACCCTTTCCCTCTTCCAGAATCATTGGAAACTCATCAAGTTTGAAAACACAAGGAACCAACAATGTAAAGGAAAGCATTCAGTAAAGTGTGGGTAAACATGATAAACCCATGAAAAACTGCTACTAGACAGGAAGTTGCATTGCCTTCAACGTGGGCCGGGAATGGAGTTGAGCCCCGCTCGCGGAGTCAACAAAGCAATTTTGGACGCCCTGCTTTGGCACACTGTCTGAAGGTTCGGTCACAAACCACTTTGAATCGTTCGAATCCATGTTGCAGAAGCTAGCCTGGCCTTCATAGGTACATATATATATATATAGTAATATGCAACATATTTAATATTCACAAAGCCAAAACTGCGATGAAAGCCTGTGACTGTACCCCTCACCCCACAGCCTCTCTTTCCTAACCGTCGCACTGGACGAGTAAGCCGTTGTAACTCAGGCTTCTAAGGCTTGATGGCAAAAGTTTGGGTAAACTGTGACTGTACCCCCCTCTCGAGCAATGGTAACCCAGGGTGAGATTCTCAAGGCTGCTAGGAAAATTTATGCATTCACCGAACTCCAGCAAGGTGAGACTCCGGAGGCTGTCTGGTAGGTTGTTCAACCTTTGGTCGCGTCTCCACCGCAACCTGCATGTCAGACTTTGCAAACCGGCTGGCCAAGCCATTTCATCCAAAGTGCGATTGAACCCTGCACCCAAAGTTAAGCTCTGAAGAGAGTTCGGCAGGCTCCCAGCAGCAAAACTGTGATTGAAGCGGTCACCAAAGGTCAAGGTCTGGAGGCTGTTGGGAAGAGTGACTCCTGTCAAATCCTGATTGAACTGGTTGCCAAAGGTCAAGGTCTGGAGGCAGTTGGGAA